AAAAAAAAAAAATTAGGGAACAAGGAAGTCCCTGCTTGTCCAGGTAGAGCCCATAGTGGTCTTCCTGCCTCCCAGCTCTGGAAGAGCAGGTTTGCAGTCTGAACACTCAGCCCTCTTAGCGCTGCTCCCACTCCACCCTGCAGAATGCTGTGTGAACAGAGCCACTGCTTCCCTTGTTTCAGTCACGTTCACTGCTCATTTGTCTGTGAGGCATTAGATGTCTGTCCCTCCTGCCGGCGTTAAGCCTCAGAAGGTGAGCTCCCAGGGTTCTACTTAAGTGGCTTCTCCAGAGGCACGTCTGTTGCAGACAGTCCTTTCTTAAAGACCTCTGAGGCAATCCCCTGACCCCATACAGCCCGCCAGGCTGCCCACTCACTGCCCTCCACTCCGGGCACTGTCTGCTCTTCACACTTCCCCGGAACAGCATCATTTCATTGTGAACCAGCACCCAAGTGCTCCAACTGGAGGGCACTTCTTCTTCGCCCTTCTTAGCCTCTTCAAAAGAAAGCTCAAGAAAATGAAATGGTGGTGATTCATAGTTTCTGGGGGGTTTTTTTCCCATTAATTTTAATGAAAATTTACAGAGACTTTGGATTTCCATTCATTCATTGTTGCACTTTTCTCCCCTCCCAACCCTCCCCCCCCCAAGTACACTCCCCTCTTGGAAAAGTAAAAGAAAAATTCTTTCATTGTTTTATTACAGTCCCTCCCCCCAGGTCCACTCCACTATGCAGCCTTTGCTCTGGACTCCTGTCATGACAAAAATACCTAATCACATATCCCTTTTAAACAGTTTTCTCCCTCATCTGTTTCAATGCACTATACTTTTATTGAAGCCATCTTTCTCTGTCTCCCCCCAACCCCAGTGTCACTCTCATTCTACAACAGTGGCACCACACAGTATTTGTCCTTTTGTGACTGGGATACTTCACTTAGCATAATATCCTCCAGGGTCACCCATTTTGAATAATATTTCATGAGTTCCTTGTTTTTCAATGCAGCGTAGTATTCCATTGTGTGAATATACCATAGCTCCTCTATCCTTTCATTTGTTGATGGGCACTTAGGTTGTTTCCAACTCTTTGCTACTGTGAACAAAGCCGTGATGGGTGTGCATATATCTGCTTGGGCGGCCATTATGGTCTCTGGTATATATTCCCAGTAGTGAAATTGCTGGGTCAAATGGTATTTCTGTTTGCAACTTTTGGAGAAAGCACCACCAACAGTGAATAAGGGTTCCAGTTTCTCCACAACCTCACCAGCATTTGTTGCTTGCTGTTCTGTTAAGTTTTGCTGTTCTAACTGGAGTGAGATGATATCTCATAGCTATTTTGATTTGCATCTCTCTTAGAGCTAGGGATTTTGAACATTTCTTCATGTGCTTGTTAACCATCTGAATGTCTTCTTTGGTGAAGCATAGTTTCTGTTGTTTGTTTGTTTTTTCATAGTTTCTGTTTTTATCCTTCTCACTCCCGTCGCTCTCCTTGAACCCCTCCCCAGTCATGATCCATGCTCCCACCATCTGTCCCCAGCAGTGTCTCAGTGGCCACACAGGCCCCCTGCCTCCTTGTGTCTCTCAGCAGCCGCAGCCAGAGGGATCCTACTAAAATGTAAGGCAGATCGTGTAACTCCTCAGTTAAAAGCCCTCCACTGGCTTCCGTTCTGATTCCACAAAAACAGATGCAGACCTGTGTCACATGACTTGACACTCAGCTCCGCCTGTACCCTCCAACAAAAATCTGCTTCTCTCTTCTCGCTGACCCTCCTTCGGCCACACTCTTGTCCTCACTGGACAACAGGTGCTCATTGGCTGTGGCCTTTGAATTTATCATGTCATCTGACTGGGTCAGTCTCCCTCCAAATGCCCCCAGAGCTCCCTTTCCATCCCCTTCCGGCTCTTAGGTCTAATCACAGGTAACTGTCAGGAAAGGCACTGGCTTCCCGTTGTCCATTGTGCTCACACTTTCTGAGGGCTCTTGGTCCCTTAGAACCTTCACACGTCACCCTGAGTCCAGGATTCAGGCTGGCAGTCCCTCCCCAAGTGTTCCTAAGGATGGACTACCAAGTGGCCCTTGGACTAATCCGAATCAAGTAGATATTAGGTGTAGAACAAGATTAATAAGAAATGGTGGTGGGAGCCAAGACACCCGCTTTTTAACTTATCATCACAGTAGTCTTGCCACTTACATTTTTCCTGGTGCAATGTTCAAGCAACACAAGTTAATGTGAGCAAAACATCCCCTTTTACTCTCATTCCTTCCAGCTCCTGCCTCCTAGGAGCCTGCTGCCAGCAGTATCAGGGGTGTATGTGTGTGCGTGCACGCCTGTGGGTGCATGTCCCCAACTACAGACATCTGTAGATCCACATTGTAATCTTCAGCTTTCTTTGTTGCTTTAACATGTCCCTTTATTCAGTCCTGTCCACATGGACACCTGTTTTTAATATTGTGAACTCTTCATCCTCTTTCCTCACTTAAAACATCACCACCACTTGGATAATTATCCCTATATTAACCACTTGATTTCCCTCTTTTGGAGACTATAATTCGAACGCTGCTTTAGATAATATTATGTGAAGCCTCTTTTTGTGTGTGTATCATTTGTTTCAATGGAATTCTTTCCTGATAATTCATTTCTAGGATCCTCGGTACTATGATCAAGGTATTAAGTGTTTCTGTTCTTATTTCTTCCCTAAAGGAAAGAATTGATCTTAAGGAGAATGTCCTGTTTAAATCAGTTGAGTGATGTTGCAGATTGGCCACATGGAGGAGAGTGAGGAGACACCTCTATCGGCGATGACAGGAGCGTCTGCTTTTTTCTCTTCACAGCACAACCAGCTCCACAGCCAGCAGCTGCGACACGGAGTTCACCAAGGAAGATGAGCAGAGGCTAAAGGATTACATCCAGCAGCTCAAGAACGACAGGGCTGCCGTCAAGCTGACGATGCTCGAGCTGGAGAGCATCCACATCGACCCCCTCAGCTACGATGTGAAGCCTCGGGGAGACAGCCAGAGGCTGGACCTGGAGAACGCCGTGCTGATGCAGGAGCTGATGGCCATGAAGGTAGAGGCGGGTGGGGTCCTGCCCTCCTACCCCGTGTCCATCCATTCATCTGCCTCAAAGCAAATATGGAAGGCCTTTCTGATGAGCCAGTGAGGAGAAAACGCCACCATCCATGTTCCTTGCCCCAGAACTGGAACCTTGTTATGAGAACAGACCATCTTCCACATATCTCAGTCATTGGGGTTATGGGGTGAGGGGTGGTTGCACTCCAGAGCAGGCCTGAGGTGTCACAGCTCTGAAGTGCTCTCTTCAGGTATCTGCAGGGTGGAGTGTCTAAGTTTCTTAGTGCTGCGGTGACAGAAATCACATCGAGCGAGTGACTTTGACAACTGAGCTGTTATTTTCTCACAGCTCTGGAGGCTAGAATGCACATGCAGAGCGGGGTTCTAGAGCCGGATCCTTCTTTCTCGGCCCTGTGCAGTTGTCAGTTCCTGGGGTTGGTGAGCTTGCTCGAGATAATGGAGTCCATCTGCCTCCATTATCATCCCCTAGCATCTGCCACCCGCGTCTACTTCTGGGTCTAATTTGCTCTTTTTTAAAACCCAGAGCTGATTAGATTTAGAACACACCATGTGCTTCATTAGCATAACAAAGGATCCCCTAATCTCAAATGGGGTTATATGTCCCTATGGCATAGATGTCAGTAGGGGTTTGGAGTCTGACATACATGTGTTTTGGAAGGTGCCGTTCAATCCATAACAGTTGGATTACTCTTCTCTTTATCTAAAATGACCTCAATCTCAAGCATTCTTGAAAGTGCTTCATGGTGCCCTGGGTCAATGGTTCCAGTCTTTCCTGGAGGCAGGAGAATGGTGAGGCTGGTCACAGGCTTTGGACGGAGCCATGATTTCCTACTGGCCGTTCCCCTTTGGTGGTGGGTTCCATCTCCTTAGCTTATCAGACCTCCCTGTGAAGGGCTGCTGTGCCTCCTGGTAACACCTTGGGTTATTCTCTCAGCTGGCTGAGCTGGCTACTGGTGTTTCTAAAGCAGAAGCAGCTCTCTCTGGGGCTGGGACTCCTCCCTGGAATGTGGAGAAACTGCTGTCCCTCCAGCAGGACACAAGTCTGTTTCTGCCCAGGGTGCCAGCACCTTTGACCTGCTCCTCTCAGAAGACCCTCTTTAAGAACATGGCCCTGATTGAAAAATAAGGAGCTCATGCAATATTATTCAAAATGGGTGACCCTGGAGGACATTATGCTAAGTGAAATATCTCAGTCACACAAGGACAAATACTGCATAGTACCACTGTTGTAAAACAGGACTGACATTGGGGTTTGGGTGAGATGAGAAAGATGGGATAAATAATGTATATTGCATTGAAACAGATGAGGGAGAGAACTGTTTAAAAGGGATATGAGATTAGGTATTATTGTCATGACTGGAGTCCAGAACGAAGGCTCCATAGTGGAGTGGACCCAGGGGGAGGGATTGTAAAACAATGAAAGAATTTTTCCTTTCCTTTTCAAAGAGAAGAGTGGGGAGTCTGGGGGCTGGGAGAAAAGTGCAACAGTGAATGAGTGGAAATCCAAAGTCTCTGTAAATTTTCATTAAAAATAATAATAATAATGAACATGGCCCTGTGTATCAGGGCTCACACTCTGGCCACAGGGCTGGATGCTTGCTGGAGGCTGTCCCTGCTAAACCCTGTTGCTCTGAGATCAAAGAGGAGAGGAATAGGAGACAGGTTTCTAAGTCTACTGTCCAAAATCTGTGCCCCTGTGAGTTAAGGCCTGTTTTGCACAGCAGTATCAAGACATGAGGGGCAAGGACAGGGAGAGAGGTCCACAGGACAGAAGTGAAGGCAGAGCAGCAGGCCAGAGGGTGTTTCAGCACATGAACTGAGCTCATAAACAGTCTCCTGTGGAGACCAGCACTGACCTCAGGAAAATGCACTGAGGGGTGAGTTGGCAAGTGATGCAGATCCCCCTGTGGTGTCCCCTCTCTGAAGAGCGGGGCCGTCAGCAGCATCACCCCCATGATCGTGGGTGGCTCTAGTCTAGTGAAGCCTGGGGGGACTCCGGGCAGTGTAACAGATGAGGATTCACTCCCCCCCCCCCCCCCCCCTTTGTTTCCAAGCAGTGCTTCTCTCCAGACCACCCACTCGGCTCTGATCTTGACTTCTGCTTTCCCTGGAGAATCCTCACACAGCCCAACTGATTTCTCCTGTCACTGCCCGCGAGCCAGGCCTCGGGTCCTTAACCAGTGACCTTCATGTTGTCAAGGAGCCCCCACACAGACCCTTCCAACCTCCAGCATGAATCACAGGCTGCTCCCCCTCATCATTTATTCTAATCATCATGTTTCATTTGGCCAAAGACTAAGGATTTCCTCTCCATAGTCAGACAAATAATGTTATGTAAGAGATTTTGTAAGAGATTTGGTATTACTCTGGCCAAGAAAGACATTTTTGGTCTAATCAAAGCTCTAATGTTCCCTTTGCCACTTCAAAATATGTACTCATCTCAAATTTTCTGCAAGAGCTGAAATCATAAAAAGCTGGGAGAAAAACGACCCATATTCCTATGATCTAGGGGAGCCATTCATTAGCATTCTGGCTTAGCGTCCCACTTACAAATGTTCTGAGAGAGAGAGAGAGAGAGGGAGGGGGAGAGAGAGAGAGAGAGTGTGTGTGTGTGTGTGTGTGTGTGTGTGTGTACGTGTACGTACACACCATCAAATCAGATCCAACTGGCACTAGAGGCGATTGCCCCTCCTTCTTCAGTGGAGCACATGGTGAATTTGAACTGATTTCACCATTTTGTTGTCAGAAGCAGCCCTGAGACACTGAACTTTTCTGGGGTTCCTTTTCCCCTTCTTCTACATGATCTTGAGTCTGTGCTTTTTCATTTTCAGAGGATCTACTTGGTTCCCTTTCCACGCCTCTCTTTTGAGTGTTCCTTGAAAAAAATGACATCATGCTCAGAAAAGTGGGAATGGGGGAAGTAGAGGGTCAGCAAAAGAGAGAAAATGCCCTCCAAGAGATGGATTGACCCAGTGACCTTGAAAATGGGCCCAAGTGAGGTGGAGATGAAGCTAGCATAGAAGAGGGCAGGCTTCAGATCTGTTGTTCACAGGGTTGCATAGTGGACCCGACAGAACCTAGCAAATTATTCCATTATGCCATCAATTCCTTTCTTACAGTGTTCACAGTTTTTCCACGTTTTGTTATTTCTGGTTCTTGTGATCATTCTCACTTTGGTTGCATCTGCTGACTCCACCTCAAGATAGTCATTTCCTCTTTGAGAGAGTGAGTGTAGGGAGGCAGGCGAGGAAGAACTGGCTCACCTTCCCTGGATGATGTTCTTGGGAGTCCCAGGTCCCAGATGTCCCCACAGAGACAGAGGTTTGGGCCTAGTTTTATACATTCCTGGCTTCTAATTCTTGTACCATGCCTGCATACGATGGAAGTTTGAGGTTTTGTTTCCTCAAAAGAGAATTTTCCTCCTTTCTTCACCCAGAGACTGTTGTTGTTACTAGGTGCCGTTAAGTTTAGTGTAACTCATAGTGGCCCTATGAACAGCAGATCTAAACTTGGCACCATCCTACACCAATCCATGTTGTTGAAGGTCTTCCTTTCTCTAACTGTTCTGCTTTTCCCAGCATGATGTCTTTTTTCTAAGGACTGACCTGGTCTGATGACACACCCAAAATATATAAGACAGAGTTTCACTGTCTTTGCCTCCAAGGAGCACCCAGGTTGCATTCCTCCAAGACAGGCTTGTTTGTTCTTTTGGTAGTTCATGAAATTTCTAGTACTTTTCTCCAACTACAATTCAGAGGTTGTACATCAAACTATGGCTGACTCTGAGAAGAATGGGAATCCCAGAACACTTGATTGTTCTAATGTGAAACTTATACTTGGACCAGGAGGCAGTCGTCAGAACAGAGCAAGGGAACACTGCATGCATGGTTCAAAATTGGGAAGGGCGTACGCCAGGAATGCATCCTATCTCCATACCTTTTCAACCTATATGCAGAACAGATTATCCGGGAGGCTGGGCTCTATGAGGAGAAATGTGGGGTCAAGATTGGTGGACGATTTATCAACAACTTGCATTACGTGGATGACACAACCCTGCTTGCTGAAACTGAGGAGGACCTGAAGCGCCTGCTGCAGAGTGTCAAGGACTGCAGCCTACAATATGGATTGAGGCTCAATGTCAAGAAGACAAAGATTCTCACCACTGGACCAGTTGGCAGCATCAGGATGGATGGTGAAGAGATTGAGATTGTACACAGCTTTAGTTTGCTTGGCTCCATAGTCAACAGTCTTGGCACCAGCAGCCAGGAAATCAAAAGGTGCATTGCCATGGGCAAGTCTGCTGTTAGGGACCTCTCCAAAGTACTGAAGAGCAATGGTGTCTCTCTGGAGACTAAGGTGCATCTGATACAGGTTTTGGTCTTCCCAATCACTTGTTATACATCAGAGAGTTGGACAATGACCAAGGAGGATAGAAGGAGAATTGATGCCTTTGAGCTGTGGTGCTGGAGAAGAGTATTGAGAATACCATGGACTGCTAGGAAAACAAACAGACTTGTCCTGGAAAGGGTTAAACCGGGTGGCTCCTTGGAGGCAAGGATTCTGAGGCTCTGTCTAATTTACTTTGGACATGTTGTGAGGAGAGACCGGTCCTTGGAGAGGGACATCATGCTTGGGAGGGTGGAGGGACAGTGCAGGAGAGGAAGGCCCTCTATGAGGTGGATTGATTCAGTGACTGGGATAATCAGGATGGGAGTGTCAGAGACAGTGTGATTGGCACAGGACAGAGCGGAATTTAGGGCTGTTGTACATAGGGTCGCTATGAGTCATAGGCGACTCGACGGCACATAACAACAACAATTCAGAGGCATAGATTCTGTTTCAGTCTCCCAGAGCCTGAGAGATGACAAATGTCCTTGCCATAGCTCCAGTGAGGACCTTTTCTGGTCTCTGTTCCAGACAATACTGCAAGAGTTCCAACTTATGTGGGAACCTCAGTTCTGGGGCTCTGCCTCCCAGGGGCCAAGGCCTGACCCTTCCATTGTTGTTAAAGTCCCAGGCTCTAGGACTGCCATCCAGGTCTGATTCCTCTGTTTGCCAGCCCTGTTTCCATCTCATCTTTTCCCTCTGGCAGAGATCTCTCTTGATTTCTGGCACCTGTGGACTTACTAGTCTTTCTTTCAATATTGCAGCCATTGTTCATGGAGTGACCATCCATCCATCCTCATTAACTCGGTATGCAGTGTGCCAGAACCTTTATAAACTTTCTTGTAACAGCAAAAGCTTCTGTGTACGGAAGCCTCTTTCATTCTAGTTTTTATAACTGATCTGTAGAAAAGGTTTGGTTTGTGTGTTCTCTTGCATAATTACTGAACAGCTTGCCCTCTCCCTGGTACCACACCCTCCAGCCCTGAGCATTACAAGCTTTTTAGTAGCTAGTGTGGCCTCTGAGTACATCCCCCTGATGGAAAGTGAAAACTTGACCTCTGCATCTAGTGAGTTGTCACCTGGGAAGAGCTCTGGCTAATCCAAGAGAACCCTCCAGAGGCAGGTAAAATTTAGTGACTTTGATGAGTCATTCTCAGCGCAGTGACCCAGCTTTTGAACAAGAAGTCCTTTTAAATCACAGATCACCACCATGGTGGGGGTGCTGGCCTTGGTGATGATGTGGTGGTGGACTCACCCTCCAGCAGGAAAGAAGGGAACCAGGATCATGCATAAGCGTGAATTGAAAGACAAGGAGGTCCTGTAGATTAGTGATTTAAGAGTCAGAGATCTGAGGTAGGCAGTCTTCCCCAGCAACCTGGACAGGCGGATTTGCCTTCTCTGCCTCACTTCCTCAGTGGTAAAGGGAGTGACAGGGAAGATTGAATACAAGGTCCTCCATGTGAAACACTTGTAATGGTGATATATGCTCAACACATGGTGGTGGATCTCATTGTTATCAGGCTCCTGGCCCCAAGATAGCCTTATCCAATTTGGATTTCCTTCTTTTCTCCATTGAAAACTCAATTTTGAGTTCTCTACGATACTGTTAGAAGTTATCTGATGAGTATCCCTTGTGATGGACTCTCTTTCTATTGCTTCCATCTGGGCCCTCAGAGCTAGACACAAGCTGTGAGAGGGGAGGGATAACATCATCATAACATCATCGCAGTGGACACTCCCTACCGGAATGCTCAACTGCAGGCAGACATGAGTGCCGTCAGGCCATGCGGAGTGTGTCCTGGAAATTAGAATGGATGCGTCAGACCCAACCTTGACTTTGTCAACCTCTTTGGTTAAGTTGGGTCGGAGCACATTGCTGACAAGACAGGTGTGCCTGCTGCAGAGGGGAGAAGATGCATCTAGTTGAATCGTTTGGTTTCTTACTTTGAATATCTGTGTGCCTGTAACTTACCTTAATATATCCCTTGTCAGTATCCTTTAGGCACATAGCTTCGTCCCCCTGCATATAGAGATAACTGTCCTGTCTCTTTCTGGCCAGCTTAGCTCTACGTTCATAGCATTCCCTTGCAGTCCTGGGTTCCAGCCACGGCCTCCTCGCTCACACCTTTCTGCACCCCCCAAACCTGCTCTCCAGCCACCGCTCCTCATGTGCTGTGATCTCTCCCCTGCAGGAGGAGATGGCAGAGCTGAAGGCCCAGCTCTACTTGCTGGAGAAGGAGAAGAAGGCCCTGGAGCTGAAGCTGAGTACCCGGGAGGCCCAGGAGCAGGCTTACCTGGTACACATCGAGCACCTCAAGTCCGAGGTGGAGGAGCAGAAGGAGCAGCGCATGCGATCCCTAAGTTCCACCAGCAGCGGCAGCAAGGACAAGTCTGGCAAGGTGAGGAGACCACGGGCGCAGAACCCTCAGGCCCAGGCCTCGTCCAATGGCCACCGGCCACACCACCCGGCTCACTGCCCCTGTCTCTTTTGTGGCAAAGGAAATCTGGATATCTTGCTGCCTCTGTTCTTTTACTTGATAGGAGTTCTGGGCATAATGAATACAAGGAAAGCAAATCTACATGTTTCAAGTGGGAGGGGAGACAACCTCATCCAATGTATAGTTGAAACATTGCCACGCATCAGAACCGTATCAGAGGAGTAATCTGTAGTACTTCCCAACAGTGTCATAGATTTTGCCTCCTTTTCCTAATCACCTTTCACATCGCAGCCAGCGATTGTAGAACACAGTCATGCAGGATTATGTAACAGTCTTTGCATTCATTATGAAGAAGGAAGCTTTATTTTGTTTTATAAGAAGAAGGTGAGATGTCAGATGGGGAGGAAACGGACCTGTTTCCTAGCTTAGGAACTACAGATCCGGATTTGGCCCCCCTTTGGCTAACAGGCTCTTTTCTTTCCTCTGTCTGCATCTCCTCTACCGCTCCTCTTAGCCTTTTGAGCCCTTGCTGGGGTGCTGAGCCGGAAGCAGCCTGAGGGGAGAGGAGGTGGCAATTACACAGAGTAAATCAGCCGAGAGTGGGATGTCTGGTGATTGAATCTCACAAAAGCAAACACTCCCATCAGCCCACGAGTCTTTTTATCTTTTTTTTTTTTTTCTTTTTCTTGAACCCATACTCCTTTCATCATCCTGTATCTCAGAATTATTCAAAATTCTACACGGGTGAGGAGGGAGGATGTTTCGAGACAATATATTTTTTTGTGTTGTGTTTTCCATTCTTAATCAAGACAGATGTGTCTTGAAGAAAATGCAGCCAGAGTGCTCCTTGGATGCAAGGATAGTGAAGCTTCATCTCACATACTTAGGCTTGCTGCTTGGAAAGGGACATCGTGCTTGGAAAGGTGGAGGGCCAGCCAAAGAAGACCCCCAACCATATGGATTGGCTCCGTGACTACAGCAGTGGGCTCAAGCATGTCAGGATGATAGGACAGCACAGGGTGAGACAGGGGTCAGGTCAGTTGTTCACAGGGTTGCTATGCATTGTACTTGACTCAGCAGCACCTGCTAGGGTTGAAAGCTAGCAGCAATCAGTGCTGGCTTTTCCTGACCCCACTGTGTTTCTGGCCAGGGCAGGTACTGACTTGCTGCTCTTCCAGTAAGTGACTTCTCAGGGCTGGGCTGGGATGAATGCAGGAAAGTGTCCAGGAAAGAAGTGAGCCTGGGAAGAACAGAGCAGTGTCAATGCCACGGGATGGTGAACTGTCCCTCCCTAAACAGATATGGAGAGAGAAATGAATAAGGAAAACAGAAGAAGAAGAATCAATGCCTTTGAAAGGCGGTGTAGACAAAGAGTATTTCATTATACCGTGAACTACCAAAAGAACAAACAAATCTGTCTTGAAAGAAGTGCCAGGAGAATGCTCATTAGAAGCCAGGATGGTGAAACTTCCTCTCACTTACTTTGGGCCTATTTTCAGGAGGAACCAGTCTTTGTAGAGAGACATGATGCTAGAAAAGGTAGAGAGTCAGTGAGCAAGAGGAAGACCCTCAGTGAGATGAATTGACAGACAGAGTGACTGTCACAGTGAGGACTTGTGATACCTGAGCATATCAGGTCGTGTGAGGATGGTGCAGGGCAGGGCAGGACAGGATCCAATCTACTGTTCATAGAGACACTTCGTGTAGTAGTTGACTTGATGGCACATAACAACAACAGATAGCTAAGGAAGTCCCTGAGTCATGCATATAGTTAATGCATTCACAGTGGGCTACTAACACTGAAATGTTCAGGGCTCAAGTGTACCCAAAGACACCTCAGAACAAAGGTCTGGCAATCTACTTCTGAAGGACCAGCCCTTGAAAACCCTGTGGAACATATTTCCACTGGTTTCCACAGTCACCAGGATTCAGAGGAGACTTGATGACAACTGGCTTAAATAGCTTCGAACTTGGGCACATGCTTACAATAAAACCACAGCTACACTTACCCCAAGTCTGCCGACCAGGAGGGAGCACACAACCCTGGCACCACACCAGGCCAGCTTTCCTAAGACCCTCACTAACTACTTTCTGTTCAGCCAGCCAACACGTTTGCCCTTGGTGTTGGAGGCATTGCATGGTGAACAACATGAGGTCTTTCCTCAGGAAATTTACACACTAGGGTGCAAGGAGACTGAGAGGCAAACAACTGATTGTAGGACAGTGTGCTGCGTGTAAGGAGCTCATCCTACCACAGGCCACTCACAGGGCTGAAGAGTCAGGCGTCTTCGGGAAGAAATGAACCTCTGAGATTAGTCCTAGTGGAGAACGGGGCTAGTCTCACAGAAGGGCCAAGGAGAAGAGAAGACACACTCTCAGCTGATGGAATTATGCTGATGACATTGAGGAACTGCTGGAGTCTGCAGGGAGTGACATGATCAGATTCGGGCCTCAGAAAGGTAGCTGTGGGAAGTCTCTGTGAAGCTGTCTGCTGAGTACCTGGGGAGCAGAGCCGAGGGGTGGGGTGGGCAGCAGCTGACATTTTGTTCCAAATGAATACAGTAATGTCAGAGCTCAGGAAGACAAGTGTTTCTATTCCATGCAAACGCCTTCAAAAGCTTCCTATAAGCCTTTTGCATTTGGTAGCAGTCATTTTGGGACAGAGCCTCAGTGTTCCCCAGTGTGTTCCTAGGGTGTGGTGGAAACGGACACACTGTTTCTGCCAGAAGGCCAATGAACTGAGCTTCCTCCCTCCCCAAGGTCTCAATTTTTGTTTTGACTGAGGAAGTACTGGATTTTCTGGTGTAGCGTCAGAGTACAGGGATCTCTCTGAGGAGAGAGGCCACATGACTTTTTTTTTTTTTTATTTACACTATGAAGCTACATTATATTGCTAAGGTAATAAAAGTATAGTAAGCTACATTATCTCCTCTTTCAAATATTAGATCTATTTTAATAAAGAGTCCTTCTAAGCAATTTAATTTGGAGTGTCTGTTAGTAGGTAGAGGATCCTTGGTGGTACAGTGTTCATGTGCTCAACTGTCACCTGAACAGGCCGTTGTTTGAACTCACCACACTCGCCTCAGGGAAAGGACGAGGAAACCTGCTTTCATGAAGACTTACCACCTTGGAAACCCTATGGGGCAGTTCTCCTCTGCCTCCAGGGTTGCAGTGAGTCAACATCAACACCACAGTAGTGGGTTGATAGACGAAGAAAGCAGTCTAGAGCAGGGGTCAGTCGACTTTCTGGTAAAGGCACAGATGTCATTATTATTGTGACACATCAACTTGGAACCGACCCATAGCTGGCCCTACAGCAGGTTTTCAGAGACAGTAAATCATACAGGAGGACATAGACCCCATGGAACAGTTGGTGGATTTGAACTGTTTGCCTTTGGTTGGTGGTGCAGTTCTATATCACTAAGACACCAGAGCTCTATAAGGTCCAGATAAGAAAGTTAGACTTTGCGTGTGTGCCAGAGGGTTGGAGTTCATGACAACTCAGCTGTGCATGTGGAGGTGTGACTGACTGTATTCCATAACTCCTTATCTGTGGACCCATGAGTGCACTTTCATCTTCTTTAGAAGGTGAGAGTAAGCATGTCAGTGGATTTCTTCTCTTACTGAAAATATTCTTCTTCTACTAGAAGTATTTCTACATAATACTTCTTTTGCTTCATTTTTTTTTCAAAAGAAAAATAGAAAGCTTATAATGGAATCATTTGGACCTATCACTTCTTATTACCTCCCAGTTCAAAATGCATTCATCTCCTATGGTCAGCATGCCCTTGGACCTGCAGGTGGGCTTAGCACCTCCAAGCCTCAGTACAACCTCTGTGTGGTTTTGATCTTCTTCTAGAAAATGGGCCTTGTTTGCCCAGTGCAGTCCCATTGCTATTGACCATAGCACCTCTTTTCTTACACATACACAGAATTCCTTTTTAAAAATTTTTTTAATATTAATTTCAATGAAAATTTACAGAGACTTTGGATTTCCATTCATTTATTGTTGCACTTTTCTCCCCTCCCAACCCTCCTTCCAGTACACTACCCTCTTGGAATAGTAAAAGAAAAATTATTTCATTGTTTCAAAATCTCTCCCCCCAGATCCACTCCACTATGCAGCCTTCACTCTAGACACCCATCATGACAAAAATACCTAATCACGTATCCCTTTTAAACAGTTTTCTCCCTCATCTATTTCAATGCAGCATACATTATTGAACCCATATTTCTCAGTCTCCCCCCAACCCCAAGGTCAGTCCTGTTTTACAACAGAGGCACCATGCAGTATTTGTCCTTTTGTGACTGAGATACTTCGCTCA